GCCCTGGCTCTAACCCAGTAGTGAGAGGTAAAATACAATTTTCTGACTCTATTAGAGGCCTGGTGCATGAAAATTCATGCACTGGAGAGTGGGTCCTTCAGCCCAGCCTGCCCCTTCTCATAGTCTGGGAGCCCTCAGGGACAGGAGGTTGAACTGGCAATCAGGAGAAGGCAATGCCCTCATCACACCTCTGCTGCTGCCACTGCCAGCAGCACAAACCTTGGCCAGCCCTAGTTACCTGAGCCTCGAGTGGCCCTGAGCAGCTGGGCAACTGACATCCAAGGCTTGCCTGTGCCTCAGGCCGGTCCTGGGCAGCTGGGGGGCTGAAGGTGGGACCAGCCACACCGAGCACCTATCTCACACACACACCCAATGTGGCTGAAAGGACTGGGGTACTCTGACGGGGTCTAAGGGGCCGGGAGCCACCATCTTTGTGATGGCATGACAGTCAATTTATTAGGTAGGATTAGTTTTCTCAGGCTGCCTTAACAAAGGACCAGAGAAAAGTAAATTAACATGATGTATTGATCCATTTCAACCTAGCAAATTAGCGAAAACAAATAAATGATGAAGACTGGCTATGGCAGATGAGTAGGTGTGCTCACTCATCTGGAGAAGAAACTGGTGCACACAGTGAGGAAAGCCAAGCCTGGAAGTGTCTGTTAAGACCATTAAAGGCACACACATTTTTTAAGACAGGAATTTCATTTCTAGAAATATAGCCTAAGGCGAAACAATGTGCCCTATCACTTCACTCAGGAATGTCCATCTCAAAGATGTCTGCTGGGGAAAAATACAGGAGTTGGTTAAACTGCATGGCCTCCGTACAAGGAACAATGCTCAGTCAGTGAAAGGGTACGTTTCCAACACAGGTGAAAGCCTGTGAGACAGAAACAAGTTCATGATGTCCTTCCAGTGTCCTCTCACTAATCACCTCATTCAGGAGTCTCACTGAGAACTTCAGCCAAGCTCTAAAACTCCAATCCATATCCTACACACCACACACACACACACACACACACACACACTATACACACTCATACTCATACACACTCACACACCACACACACACACACACACATTACACACTCGTATACACTCACATACACACGTATATGTACTTACATATACTCATACACCCACACAAATACTTTATTCCCCTTCCCTACGCTACTCCTTAGCACATATCACCATCTAACACTATTCATTTTATTTATCTCCTTGTTTCCTATCCCTGGAAGATGAGCTGCATATTGGCAAGGTGTTCTGTGTGAGTTTTATTCACTGCTGATTCTTCAGCACCCACAACATGACCAGCATACAGAAGGCATTCAATAACTGTGTGCTTAAGAACATATCAACTGAAAATGCAAGTATAATTATAAGTATACTTATAAGTATAAATTATGTATAATCTTATTTTTTATTTCTCTCTTAAGAGAAAAGGTGAACACACAAAGAAAAGAGGTAATAGATCTGATTCACAGGATTACAAGGTTACAAAGCTTTTTAGTGATGGTTGCTTTTAAATGGGGGCTGGAGGATTGCAAGGACAGAACTTAATGTACTTTCTAACATTACTTAATATATTGAGTGTGTAATAAATTGGGGTTTTTTGTTGTTTTGATTTCAACATTGAGACACACACACACACAAAAGTTATAGAATCAGTCTCATAGCACAACCCTTCAGGCTGGAGCAGTGGTTTTCAAAACCTTTCACAGCATCCTGGGTACCCGGTACCCAAGATCTAGGGGCATAACTTACAGACAGCTCAAAACTTCTTTGAAATGTCTTATTTGATCTTTAAAAATTAATTCAAATGTTGTATTCAAGTAGATAACATATCTGTGTATGTCTTGTGATAAAAATCAATTACACTATTTATCAATTAAATTATTTAACACTTCCCCCAATTGCTGCATTTATTTTACATGTAGGGAAGACACTCCATGTGTTCACCTACCCACTGGCACCTATTCACTTGAAAGTACAGCCTATTTATTGATGTTTTCCCACAATTAAAACAGATCTCATAAGTCATTTCACAAATCAGAAAACTAAGGCATTAACTAAACAGTGACTTGTTTGGGATACAAACTAGAGGCCCAGAGCACTACATATAAAGACTATCTTCTTTTTTTTCCCCTAAAGTGAACTTCACATTATTTATAACCTCTAGAAATTATAATTTCATTAAATCAAACTAGGGAAATTCAAGGTCCTATAAGTTAAATTAGTCAAGAAACTCATCAATTAAAACAACTATTTTAAATAAATAAAACATCGTGGGGGAGGGGAGAAGACTAATTTTAGTAATAGTAGCAAAATGATTTAAAGTTCAAGTTCCCACCAAAACCGGTTTGGCTCAGTGGATAGAGCATCGGCCTGCGGATTGAAAGGTCCAGGGTTCGAGTCCGGTCAAGGGCATGTACCTCTGTTGCGAGCACATCCCCAGAAGGGAGTGTGCAAGAGGCAGCTGATCGATGATTCTCTCTCATCGATGTTTCTAACTCTCTATCCCTCTCTCTTCCTCTCTGTGAAAAATCAATAAAATATATTTGAAAAAATAAGTAAATAAAAAAAAATAAAGTTCAAGCTCCCTATTTAAATCCCAGCCTTTCTCTCCTACTTCCAAGAATTTTTGCAAGCATTTGTCTCAAGAATTGCGGTGTATCTACCATTATAGATTTTCACTCAAGAACCAACTATTGCCATAACACCGAGGGGCCGGTAGATCCCTGCTTCAGAAACCGGAGAAAGTGAGGTGCTGGAACCCTAGGGTGGACATGGGACCTAGTCCTGGAGAATCGGGAAAACAGAACTGACAAGTAGTGGAACCGGTAAGTAACAACCCCTTTTTAATGCTTAAGGGTAAGATACATCTGGTGTAAGAGAAGGCATACCATGCGCAACTTTTTACATCTGTAAACCAAGAAGACTTCAAAGTAAAAAGGTAATTCTCAAGAATGCAAGCTGTCCTCAGCATTATCCCTACACCTGGTAAACTAACTGGGATGATGGGTACAGAGCTAGGAGCGCTCGGGATGAAATGAATAGTAAAGTACCATGATAGCAGGTTGATACTTCTCACATACTGGCTGGCTCATTCGCATTGGGAAAAGGGCGTTAAGATCAGTAAAGCAGTTGCAACCTTCTGCTCCCTGCCCCTTCCCCAACTCACTCCTCAAAATTGCCTTTTCTTGGTGTGGAATAGGACCCCCCCCCCCTTCAGTTCCTGGGCTCCCCAAGAGAAATGGAGGGGAAGAGTCGTTAGACATCAGAAGGAGAGACCACCACAGGCCCCAGCAGGAACACCAGCAGGAGACCGTTCGGATCTGAACCCTGCGGGGTGACCTCTAGAAGACATCCTGCTTAGAGACTCAGACTTGGCCTAGCAGAAAGTGCTGGAAATGCAAGAAAGCGTTGCACTGGAGGGCGCACTCCATCCGGGGGATCTGCTTAGGGGTCCCGTGTCCTCGAGTATCCAGGAATCGTGGTCGGTACAGAAAATCATAACGTTTCTACTTCTCTAAGTTATAAAGTCATAAAAAGACGAACGGTGACTCCTGGTCTCTGAATGAGGAAGGAAGGACTCTGGGGGCGCGCTGCGGAGCGGTGCCCTTCTAGGACCTGGAGGCGGGCCCCTGTGTCTGGGCAGGTGGAGCTCATGCGCCGCGAGCCGCTGCTCAGGGGCTGGGGGGCTTCCTACGCCCGCAGTGCCCACTAACCGACTTAACGGAAAGGGAGGGGAGGTTTCCTGGGGCTCCTCGGACTCATACCTTGACCTGAGGTGACCCCACGCTTCCAAGTGGAAGACACTTCCTCCCGCCGTCTTTCCAGACCGCTCCTTAGCAGGAGCCGCCCGCAACGCGCCAGAGCGGGGCCGGAGAACAGAAATGGGAAGGGGCGGCGGGAAGGGAGGGGACCATCACCTGAACCCTGGGATGCTCCCCGGGATGGCGCCAAGGCCGCCGAGAGGCAGGCGCAGCGCCTGGACTCCCAGCCAGTGCTGGTGCAGGAGCCGGGCGCGTCCGGTCGCCATGGCGACCTGGCGGTAAAGCGTGGGCGGTGCGAAGTCGGGAAGGTTCGGCGCCGCTCGCGCTTAGCCACGCCCACCCACCTCCGGCACGCTCCCCCGAGACGCACAAGCAGACGCGTCTTTCCACCCGCCCCCTGGAGGATTCTAGAAACTTCTTAGCGCTCGGAGTTTTTTTTAACCCCCGTGTCGCAACTGTGGCGGCCTCGTTCCTCCCCACGTTTTAGCTCTAGGGTAGTTCGTGCTACTTCTAATTTGGAGCAGGCAGAGGGGGTGGAGGGTAGAGGGAAAGAATTGAAATTCAGAGGCTATTCATAATTTGCCCTTAAGTGAGGGGAAGGCCACTATCAGATCCGAGGACTTTTCAGTTTACGCAGTCCTCTATAGAGAATCGAGGGACACACAGTTTGCAAATGTTCACTTGACTTTGGTGCGTTCTAGAACTACTATGCTCACAACTGCGGTGCGAATTCTGCCAAAACAGATTACAGTAAGTGCAGCGCAGGCGTAGGGCCATCAGCGCAAGGTCGTCTGGGAGACGGCTTCTGGCCACCGTGCACTGTGGGAGATGTAGTCCTTGTGTCTTCCCCGCCGCAGCAACTCCGCGAGGAGTGACGTTTTCAAACTACTATTCCCAGGATTCCTAGTGGTTTCCCAGGCTACTTTGCAAAGGCATGGCGGGCAGAGTGTGAATGTCAGCCTAGAAGGTAAGCCGAGTACATTTATTCAAGTAAAAAAAAAAAAGAGGACCAAAGAGAAGGGAAGGTGGACAGCAAATTTCTTTCGGGAGATCTTTCGTCTTTACGCTGCTGGAGCTAACGTTTTTTGTCGTGCACGCAGTGCTGCCTTACCGGCGTGAATGTGTGCACTTGAGCACGCATCGGGCTGGGCGTGGAGGGGCCAGTGAAGCTTTGCTAGTGGACGTTGTCATTTTCCTTAAACGGAGCGGGTTGCTGTGAACATGATTTGTTCTTTTCTACGAGCTGTACAGTATACGGAGAAGCTGCACAGGTCCTCGGGGAAGCGCTCGTATTTGCCATACTTTGTACTTAACAAAGCTTGCTTGAAGACTGAGGCCAGTTTGAGATGGGGGCTGCACGAGCAGAAAACGGTGCCATCTGGATGTATCCTTGGAGTCACCCCGAGGACCATCTGGACACAGGGACAGGGCCTCCAGAGGGCAAAGGAGGACAACAACAAGCAAGTATCTGTGCACAGTCAGAGAGGGGAAACCGCCATCTCAGCAGCACAGAAAGGTAAAGAGAAATCTCCAGTGAGGACCAGACTTTCAACAAACATGACAACAGTTGCCCATACCTTTTTGTAGAAGTTCAATGCAAAAGCTGGAAAGACAACTGACACAAAATAAAACGTAGAACCGCTAAACATAGTTTAGCATCAGAGAATATAAGCGTATGCAATATTCTCCATAGATTTGAACTCAAATTTGAAAGTTGATTTTGATATAAATTTTTTCAACTTTTAGTTCTGGGTGGAGAGACATTGTCCAGATGCTATTTCATCCATTTGACTCTGACATTCAATCTTCCCAACGTTAGTATTGTAATGTAGGAGGCACGCTTTCCCAGTTTCACACAACTGAATATTAACTACAGATTTTTCCTGATCTCGGTTTTCTAATAGCCAGGCCAATGCTCTTTAGGACAACCATTCACAAGGATTTTATGAGCTTCCATTTTTTTTCTATGCTCAGTCTGGAGCATGGTTATTCAATTAAAACTTGTTCAGTGATGGAAATGTTCTGTATGTGGGCTGCCCCAGTATGGTGGCCACTAGCCACCTGTGGCTGTTGAGCACTTGAAATGTTGCTAGTGTGAGGAACTCAATTTTTAAATTAAAAATAGCCCTGTGTGGCATGTTGCTGCTGTATTAGACATCCCAGGCCCAGAATGTCCAGGTTATGTAAACTATATTATCATACATTGGGAAAGGTAACAAATCCTGGGCAAGACAATACATATCCACTGTTACTGTCTGTTGCTCCTTGTCAATAGAGGTGGAAAATAATGTGTTCTCTGGGCCATGTCATCCTCTAGTATCTGTGGATTCTGTAAGAGGAAGACTGGTGAATGACATGGGAATATGATGTGGGCCACCACCCTTGTACATTTCAGTCTTTAAGAATAGCACCATCTCTACCATCCCCCTCTCAGATGTTTTTTGATTGGTTCTGATTCACAGGGACATTTGAGAACAGCTGCTTTAGAACACAAACCCATTCATAGGTCCTAAGTCCACACCTCACCTAGAAATACTGAAAGTTCCTGCTTGTATCTGGCACATGTGTGACTCAGTGCTTTTTTTTCCTCTTTACAGTTAAAGAAGCTGGAAGAGATTTTACCTATTTAATAGTGGTGATTATTGGAATCAGCATTACAGGTTGAAAACACAGCAAGTATAAAAGCCAAATATCTATTTCACTTATTAATTGTATCGCCCTGACTTTGCTTGATCTTCTTTTTCTGTGACTTTCAGGTGGCCTGTTTTATGTGATATTTAAAGAACTTTTTTCTTCATCCAGTCCTAATAAGATATATGGGAAAGCCTTAGAAAAGTGCAGATCACATCCGGAGGTGAGTTACACAAACTCTGATAATAGGAAGAGAGAGTAGGCAGAACTCACATACTGGTTCTAAGACTAGTGAAATTTATATAATAATAATGTTTGAGTTGTTTATGTTTTTAGCTCTTTATTCTATACTTGCACCCAAACATCCATGGACAGTGTTTTCATCTTAATTATATAAGACAAAGTCATTTCACTAGTTATCATAGATAATAAATGCTTAGAATATACCAGAGTCTAAAACAGCTACACAGTTCTTAAGTGTCTCTCACATCATTCCTTTTTTATAAGACTGTTATTATGAGACTTCATGGTCACAATATGTAATTCTTATGGAGAGCATAGTATGAGCTAAGGACTGTGCTTAGCATTTCAGTGCATTTTCCTTATTAAATCGTACATAAACCATTGTGTCAAGTTCTGCTATTATCCCATTTGCAGAAGGGGAAACTGACAGATGAAAATAAATAGGAGTCGCATAATTAAATGTTAGGATGCATCTCTAAAGAGATGTCATTCACAAACTCAGCCTTTTGAACAAAACAAAATACAGAGAATAAACAGAGTAGGATAGTATGAAGTCATAACTTAATTTGCTGCCTACAAGAGCTCTACAGATAATTAAATTCCAATAGTCAATGTTGTCAGCACTGTACCTGGTTAAAGACTAGAAAGCTCTCATGTTTGGTTCTGATGTGTTTACTACTATTATGTTGTTTGAACAGTTGTGCCATTTGTCTCAGCTCCACAGTTCTTAAGTTTACTTCTCGTCTTACGCTTTATTTCTTTACTTTTGAAAGAAAAATGTGATGCTGAAGATGCCCAACACAAAATAAGACAAATTTTATAGACTTGAGGCAACATTTGTTTTAGTTTGATACCATTTTTTTAAGGTTCCAAAGTGTTTGCATTTTAAATTCAATAAAAATTATATTTCCATTTCATTGCCATTAGTAATTGATTCACACCTATAGATCTGGTTTGTTTTAAATAGGTCGTTGTTAAATGTTTATGTTCGTTAAATATTTAAACATGAGGTTTTTTTCCCACTGGGCTTAATGACTTAAAAAAAATTTTGTCCCATAGCTTTTAGTATTAGACCCCATTAGATAAATTTCACTACAAATGTTCAGGCATTTAAATATATGAGCACTAGTGGTGTTTCTTTTTGTGAAGAGTAGGAGTAGCTTTACTTCACCAATGCAATTCTAAAGCTGCAAGCAGCACCGTAAAGTTACCTGGATCATTCTCTGCACAGGAAATATTTTAGTTAGTTATGGGGTGATTTTTTCATGATAGCTTTTCTTTTTTCATTATTGGAGTTGTCATTTTGAAAGGGTCCTAGGCTTACTGAAATATTTTCCTAAGAAACTTAAAAAAAAAATTAAATAAAATAATAAAATGTTGTATTTATTCTGCAGGTAATAAGTGTCTTTGGTGAGCCTATTAAAGGATATGGGGAGCAGACAAGACGTGGTCGAAGGCAGCACGTCAGGTACTGCACGTGGCTTGCATTTGGAAGGCTTGGGATTGTTTTTAAATGAAAGGGATTTAGGTGTTTGTTCTTTCCTTGACAGTTTTATTGAATATGTAAAGAATGGGCTGAAACACGTGCGAGTGAAGTTCTACATCCAGGGTTCCGAGCCTGGGAAGCAGGGGACAGTGCATGCGGAAGTGAAGGAGGTGAGGAGAGGGGGAGACTTGGTCTAAGTGCGCAGTTGTGGAATACACTGGAAGGAACAATGCCACCTTGAAATCTTTTTTTTTTTTTTTTTCCCCAGAACCCAGAAAGTGGTGAATATGAATTCCGATATATATTTGTAGACCTTGAAGCTTATCCTAGAAGAACTATTGTCCTTGAAGATAACCGATCCTGAGATGAAAGGCTCAGCACTCAGGCCATTTCCTCATGGGTGTTGCATGGTGCAGACTGTCAACTCTGCTCTGCACGGCTCTCCCACAGTCAGTTTTGAATAGGTCAGGAAAGAGTACAGTTCATCAAAGTGAATGGAACTGGGTAGTTGTTGCATTTAGACTAACTGAATCAGATTTTCCTGTAGAATAAAAATCTTGAAATAGTGCATATTTTAGGTGATCCTGGGCATCATGTAAATAAGAAAATAGAGTTCATTGTTTTGTGCTTTTTTATGTAATATCCTAGCTAATAAAAGAGTAGTATGCAATTAACCATCACTCCGCTACACCCATAAGCCAGGTCTATCAGCCAATTAGGAGCAAATATGCAAGTAAACCCAACCAAGATGGCTGTAGCCACAGAGAGAAGGAGGAAGGCTTGCGTTTCCCAGGCAATGGAGGAAGCCAAGCTTTCCGCCTGCCCTTGCCAGCCTAGGCCTCCACTCAAGGCTACAAAGTTTCAATTATAGGAGATACATAAATCTCAACAGAAATGGCTGTCACCAATTGTATAGAATAAATAAAACCCAGATACCAGGGCTTCTGCTTGGGTTGCCAGGGGCATGGCCAGCCTGCAAACCACCACAGGCTCCTCACTCAGGCCACCCCATGCCCCAAGGGACCCCCCACCCTGATCTGGGACATCCTTCAGGGCAAACCAGCCGGCCCCCACCTGTGCATCAGGCCTCTAACCTATCCAATAAAATAATATGCAGACTGACCATCATTCCCACACACAAGATGGCTGCCCCCATGTGGACACAAGATGGCCAGCTGGGGAGGGCAGTTGGGAGGGATCAGGCCGACGAGGGAAGTTGGGGGTGACCGGAATGCGGGGAAGGGCAGATGGGGGGGACCTAGGCATGTAGTGGATAGCAGTTGGAGGGGGACCCAGGCCTGCAGGGGAGAGCAGTAGGGGGAGACCCAACCTGCAGGGGAGGGCAGTTAGGGGTGACCAGGCCTGCAGGGGAGGGCAGTTAGGGGTGACCAGGCCTGCAGGGGAGGGCAGTTAGGGGTGACCAGGCCTGCAGGGGAGGGCACTTAAGGGTGACCAAGCCTGCAGGGGATGACAGGTTGGGGTGGCCAGGCCTGCAAGAGACAGCAGTTAGGCATCAATCAGGCTGTCAAGGGAGTGGTTAGGGGGTGATCAGGCTGGCAGGCAGAAGCATTTAGGGGCAATCAGGAAGGCAGGCAGGTGAGCAGTTGGGAGTCAGCAGTCCTGGATTGTGAGAGGGATGACCAACTGCCTGTTTAGGCATGATCCTACCAGAATCGGGCCTAAACGGGCAGTTGGACATCCCTGGAGGGTCCCAGATTGGAGAGTGAAGGCTGGGCTGAGGTACACTCCCCCCTCCTGTGCACAGATTTCATGCTCCAGGCCTCTAGTAGCTATATAAAATCTGTGGAATAAAAATTAACACGTCATAACCAGCTACCTTTCATATACTTTGGTATCTGATGAGATAAATATCTGAAAATACTTGAAAACTGTAGGAACCAAATGATAAGTACATTCTCTTCAAAGTGGTCATAGGAAGATTGTGCACATTGTATGAGGTGTGGTGATCTAATATATTTTGTATGTTCTCTCCATGAATCAGGGCCTTGTACATAGTGGGAAAGTGACTGCCCTAAAGTCTAAAGGACTTGCCTCTGTTCTCACCAGCTGTGTGGGCTTGTGCAGGTACCTTAGCCTCCTTCAGCCTCACTGGCTGACTTGTGAGGATGACTGAAAGGTAGCAGGTACAAATGCCTGGACCATAGCAAGTCCCCATGAAGTGCCCCAGCCCTTTAGAACTCGCACCAAGACATCACTGCTGGAAGCAGCAGGGAAGTGAGTCACTTAAGTCTGTGCGGAAGACTGTTTGAATATTGACACCTGTTTTATCTGACATAGTTACAGGGTATTTGGAAAACGGTGACCTTAACAAGAGCATATCACATATCTGTATAAAGTTCGCTAGGTGCTGGGTCATGTCTAAAAATGTCCTTATCTATGGTAGCTTCAGTTTTGTGGCATCCCCATAAAATGCTCTTTCCTTCACCCTCAGAACTATGCAGAAATTTCTGATGGGTACTTGAACTTGTAGGATATTTGGGATAGATGGGTACTTGAACTTGTAGGATATTTGGCAAGCAATCACCAGCATTTAGACCATCTCCCTGTTTAGTTTAGCTCATACTTCAGTTTTACCGCTTGTTTTAAATATTTTTTAATTTTAATTGTGAACGATCTCAAACATTTACAAACTATAGGAAGTATTAGAGCAGACATCTTGTCTCCCTGATGTAACATATTTGAATTGGCTGGGTGAACTCCTAACTTGGTCTTTGTCTCACCCATTTTTTCTTCTTTCCAATAGAATGTCCCATTTCAGTACCCTTATCCTTGACTGACATGGCAACATTTAACAGGCTGAGAGGTCTGCTTGCTGTCCTCCACCTTTTCATAGGACCTGCTCAAATCATAGTGTCCCAGAAACCTGGTCTCAGCTGCCTGGCATTTAGCCTACCTCCTAACCCTATTTTTAAGGTTTAGGACAGATTTTTCCTAAAAATTCATCTTTATGTACCTCCCATTTTGTAGTATATCATACTTTAAGATACAAACTTATTAAGTTACTTTTATAATCAAAACTATTTTTTCAAAAGAAAAAATATCTGTACTCAGGTTCTTTATAACCATGGGAAAATGTAACAATGCAGTATTTTAGATAGCTCTGTTTTCTTTCCTTCTATAGTTTAATACCTCATGTTAAAGTTTCTGTTCTTTAAAGAGCTGCTTTAATAAACTGCCATTTCCTATTCTGATTCTGGCATCTGTCCACAGGCTTACTCCCATCTTCAAAATCTTTTCTGCAATTGACTATATGCAGTATCCCCTTATGTCATTTATATGAAATAGAAAGTGATTCCATCATTTTTCTCCAAGGCTTTTAAATAAATAAATAAATAAATGAAATAAAAATTTCTTAACTATTCTATTCCCCAATCAGGGGTCCCTTTTGTCAGAATTAAGTCTGACATATGCTCTCTCTCTCTCTCTCCTTAACAAAGAAATCATTGGCAAGACAATAGATCTAACTTTCCAGCCCAAGACAGAAAGAATAAAATCAACATGAAATTATTTAGCATCACGTATGGGTGATATTTTTCATGGGTGACTATTTGAGAGTTGGTCCGGTTAGCAATAATGTACGACTTCCATAAAACAACCTATTTTCCATCTGCTCCTGAGACAGCCCTCATGACATGTCATGGGGTTTGGACAGTAAATTCATTCATTGTGATCCACTGATGAATTTTGAAATCATATTCAGTTGGTCTCCAAAACTGAAGAACATATCTGCTGTGGTCAGGCTCCTCTCATTTTACATGTGCACGTGTGTACATTTGTGTTTCCATTTTGTGGCAGACAATATTGGTGCCCATATGCTCTCTCACCAACTTATTGTCATCTCGTTTTAACTACCAGCACCTGTAGATGTTGGCAAACCACAGATATGGTTCCAAGCACCTCCCCAGCCTCTGCCATCTGGAAACTATTCGTTTTCTATGGCTGCCATAACAAATGGCCACACACTAAATGGCTTAAAACAACCCAAATGTATGATTGCTCAGTTCTGTGAGTAATTGGTCCAACTCACAGTGGGTCTCACGCGGCTAAAATCAGAGTTAGCAGGGCTCTGATCCTTTCTTCGGGCTCTCGGAGAGGATCTGTTTTCTTGTTCATTGGGTTTTAGGCAAATTCAGTTCTTTGCAGTTGTAGAACCAAGGGCCCTATGTGGGGCCGTTCTCAGCTTCTAGGGGCCACTGCCGTTCCTGGGTTCTTGGGCCTTCCTCCACCTTCAAAGCCAACAACAATGGGTGAGCAAGTCCCTCTCACACTTTGAATCTCTGCCTTCCTGGGTCAGACCCAGCCAGGAATGAGTCTCCACTAAAAGGAGTCACATGAGGTAAGTGATGAACTTTGCCAACTGTTGGCACCTGGTGAAGTCACGGTATCTGGCTTGAAACCCAGGGATTTCAGCTACTTAGACGGTGGGTCTAACACACTGCTTTCCTAACAAAACTCCTTTGGGGAGAAGAGAAAACTTCCTTGCCAAGCCACAGTGGAGGCTGAGGTGAAAAGAAAAATCAGTACTACTGATCCTATCTAGTATTTTGTTTATCATAGTATTAATTTTTAATTAAAAATTTCTTGGGACGCTGGCAAGCCAAGCATCATGGGGGCATCTGCCAGTGATACTCTGGGTATTTGATTTTCACATATTGAGAGTTTATTAATTGTTTTCAATGCTCAAAACACTGCTTGCAATAAGTCATGTGCCTGATTTTAAAATCTTATATATTATTCTTTATATGTTGATATTATAATTGAATCTAAAGGTATACATATTTTATATTCTGTCATTTTACAGGGACTATTACTTAACAAATTTTTATCTTGGAATGTTAAAATAAATAAATTAAATAAATAAATTAATTAATTAATTAATTAAATAAAAATTTCTTAACTATTCTATTTATCTCAATTACTATTTTGGGCACCCTCCCCCAGGGTGCTGAGAAAGTAGAGCGTTGTCTTTACTCGAATCTGGGGGGTGCAAACCACACTCCCTATAGCGAGACTGACAAGCTGCTTAAAGCAATAAAATGATTCCATAGTTCAGAAATGGCCCCCAAAACTGTTTATAATTCTCTGAAACAGAATTATAAGTCAGAAGAGCGAGTTCTGGATTCTGTTTTCGCAGCACGTAGGTTTGGGGGATCTTGATTTTTGCTGCCGTAAACAAGTGTCTTTTGCCATTTTTCTGTCCCTCTCCAAACCCTTCGCTCTGCTCAGCAGAGAATGGTTCTCAGGCTTTCGGGCAGAGTAGCCATCTTGAGAGAATTTCGGTGTTTCTAACCTAAAACTAATGTTTTAATCCCTCGCGGCCACTAGGGGGCCACTGACATCCAT